CGCCGCCGCCGCTCCCTCCCACCCTGGGCACGGCCGTACCAGCTCGCAGGCGCACAGGTCGCAGAGGATGCCCACGTCCATCCGGAGGCCGTCGGAGAAGGAGGGCTTCAGGTGGACGTTGCCCTTCCTGTCGTGTTCTGGCAGCTGGCACACGTGCGTCCCGTCCACGTCCTCGATGGCCCGAAGCTGAACTTGGTAGGTGCCCTGCAGGGACCCTGCTGTCAGCCAAGCAGGCCCGTGGGCCTCAAGCTTCGGGATGTGCCTGGGTCCTGGCCCCCAGCTCCCTGCCTGCTCTCCCTCGGGGCTGAGAACAGTCATGTGACACCAGCAGTGCGCCTCCTCCTTTGGCCCGTTCGCTGTCTGAGCCACCATCTGAGCTCCGTGCGGGCGGACCCCGCTGTGCCGAGGAGGCCACAGACAAGAGAAGGGAGGTGCCCAGCTCATCCGAGGGGCTGACCCGGGGCCTTCGGACCCGGGCCTGTCTGACTCCGGAGGCCACGTCCTTGACCTCTGCTCAGGCTGACCCCCTCGCAGGGGCTGTGCCCGCCTCCCGCCCCGGGGCCCCGTGAAAACATACCACTTCTCCTCGCCGGATGTGAAAGGACCCCGTCTCCGTCTTTTGGAACATCTTGGAGGTGACCTCTGTCCGCAGGCCGCGGGGGCTGTCCAGGGCCCGGATGTCCAGGTTGGAGTGAATGCGCTAAAGGAGGGCCAGGGGTCAGGGGCCTGGCTCTGCCCCTGTGTGGGGACTGGGGTGGCGTCAGGGTGGCAGGGCTCAGGTGGGCTCCCCGGGGATCCTGCCTCACTGGCCTGTCCTGTTTCTCCACCCTGACTGGGGACACCCTTTGCCCACTCGGCCTCCCCCCAGCCCTGCCCGGAGGGACCCAGCCTCGGTCGGGCCTCACGTTGAAGGCCTCCTGCAGCAGCTCCACGATGTTGGACGAGTCTTCCTGCAGCACGCCCAGCGAGGACACGGGGAAGTACTTGTGCAGCTTCTGCGGAGAGAAAGCCGGGCCCGGCTCAGTAACAACAGCTCAGGGTTATCCCCACTTTGCAGATGGGATCACTGAGGCCTGAAACCTGCCGGTGCATCCAGAGTCGGACCTCTTAGCCCCGCCTGCCTGGGGGAGGGTGGGCACATGACCTCCCTGTCCCATCAGGGCACACCCTGGAGGTGCTGGCTGGTTCGGGTGGGAGTAAGGGGTGAAGGGAGGGAGGAGAGACGAGAGAGAGAGAGAGAGAGAGAGAGAGACGACCTCCCTGTCCCACCAGGGCACACCCTGGAGGTGCTGGCTGGTTCGGGCGGGAGTAAGGGGTGAAGGGAGGGAGGAGAGATGGAGAGAGAGGAGAGAGGTCTGAGAAGATCCATGGACCCCCACCCGCCCCTTTCTCAGCCGGTGAGGCCCCAGGCCACCCCCACCACACACACACCTCGTAGTAGCTGTAGGAGTAGTTGGTGACGGCGAAGATGGGGATAATGTTGTGTTTGGCCAGCAGGCGCACCAGGGTGAAGATCCATAGACCCCCACCCGCCCTTTTCTTAGCCGGTGAGGCCCCAGGCCACCCCCACCTCCCACACACACCTCATAGTAGCTGTAGGAGTAGTTGGTGACGGCGAAGATAGGGATAATGTTGTGTTTGGCCAGCAGGCGCACCAGGGTGGGCACAGACGGGTAGTCCTGTGTCTTGTACTGGGTGTAGGTGCCTGTGGCGTCCAGGTGGCACTCCTCGTCATTTCGCTTCAAGATGCCAGCCAGCACGTTGGCACCGTCGGCCTCATAGTGGAAGGCGGACTCGGTGGAGAACACCAGCAGGTGGGTGCTGTCAGGGCGCCAGCCGATGTCCCTCTGGGGAGAGCAAGGAGGGCAGTCACTGCGCTGTCGTGTGTGACGGTGAACGTGGGTCCCCACGCGGGGCCCGGCGCGGCCACAGGACGAACAGCAGCCGTCGTCACGAATGAGTGACGACATGGAAGACAGAACCAGTGCCAGGAAATGGGTGCGGGTCGGCGCACACCGTGGGCGCCACGCAAGATCAGCACCGGGGCCATCCGACTGTCCGCCAAGGTCTTAACCACCCTCCAGAACGTTTTAACTGCACAGGAAAATGTACCCCACGCAACGTTAAATGAAAAGGGCCGGTTACAAGAGGTCCAGCAGCGATGGCACGTGGTTAGACGACAGATGGGATGAGTTTGGAAACGATTACAAAAGAGAAGATGCGCCAAGTGAAAAAAAGCAAGTTTCAGATGAGCAGGGCACCGACTCCAACCACAGGAAATAAGGAAGAGGGAACGACCTATGCTGGCGGGACTCCGTGGCCGCCGTCCGACCGTGGTGACCATGGGATACTTCTCTTCTTTGTTTTCCAAACTGTCTATTAAGTGGGTATATTATTTTCAAAATGGGAAAAAATTGACGTGCACACAAAACGAAGTGCCTTCTTCGGCGGCCCAGCACTGCTGGGTCCTGGGAGACTGGCATTAGGGAGGAGATTGGGTGGGAGGCTGGCATCAGGGCACGGAAGGTTCCGGAGATCCGGGACGCATGTCTGCCTCGCCGGCCAAGGCTCAGGGCGAGGGGCTGTGACTCTCGGCACATCTGAAGCCTCATTGTAACAGCGCCGCCCAGAGCGGCTCGGGACACGGGGCCTCGGCCTGGCACCGGAGCAGGCC